TTGTAACAAAGTCACTGTGCAACATACAAGAGTTCGCTGCTGCAGGTAGTCGGGGGCTTTACTCGCGCAGAAGCGAAACAGAGCCTCGCTCCGGTAGCATAGTAGCGTAGACCGTGCTCGCATTGCGTGCCCATTTTTGCGCTAGTTTGCGTCTTCCAGATTGCCAATTCATTCTTCTGCTATCTCGAAAATCTGTGCAGTCAATTGTGCGTCGAACTGTAGAACTCGCGACAGAAATGCAATCGCGAAACACGACAGCTAACAAAAACAACCTTCCGCCCCATTGCACTCAAGCAGGAGCGTCTGCTAGCTTGAAGCGATTCAGGCGGCAATACCGTCGACGCGCGAGGGCGAGAGAGAAAAAAGAGGGGGAGGAGGGAGGAGAAGGCGCTACCTTTCAGTATAGACTTAGAGGGACCTTAGCAGTTAGCAGTCCGCTGCGCCCTCTTGGGGACGTTCACACGCCAACAGAAAACTATTCGTCCTCTGCGACCTTACTACAGTCTGTGACAACGTACGAAACGAAGGGTCTGGTGAGACGCGTGCATTTCATTATCCCTCCGCAACCAGTGAGATCACGGCATTAGAAGATAAGGACGCCAAAGAACCAATTGCGAAGCAAGAAGTTGAATTATAATGAGCCACGCCCTGCGTGTTTCCCAAGTTGCCAAGGGCCATAGGACCAACAATCATCGCGGCTTAGACTGGCATGTATGTCATGGGCGCTAAAACTGTTGCTCATGAGTCTCGTGGGGCTTGGTGCTCCCTGGTAGGCATGCCAACAGAAGTAATGTGTCCCTACGTTAAGCTTGCGGGGCGCAAACGTAAACTCTAAAAAAAAGCCCGTGCGACTACTTTCCCGCAGAACACTCGGCGAGCCAATCGCCACAATTTAGAAAGGCAGCTCAGCGAATGTCGATGCCGAAAGATATGTTCAGACCAAAAAACGCAGTCTGAGTTGTGACATCAAGCAGTGCAAAACGTCACGCTTGCATTGCTTAATGTCATAACTCAGACTGCGTTTTTCGGCGTAAACATATGATTCAACATCGTCATTCGCTGAGCTATCTCCGTAAGTTGCGGTGATTGACTCTTCGAATGTTGTGCGGCAAAGCAGACGGACAGGATTTTGTAGACTATACTTCGATATTCGAATGAACACGCTGCTGTAAACCGCACTTTTCTAACCAATCAAAGCGGTGAAATCGAAACAGCGTGAGACCCTAATGAACGAGCACCTAGCTGAGCTTTTCACGACTTCAACTACGTCATTTGAGCCAAACATTCACGTGCTTGTCTCCCAAATAAAAACGTGCAATAAAAAAAGAACATGTCGAATCATCACTTTATGAATGGGATTGTTTGTTTTCACAAGTTAACATGAAAGAAATTAAAAAAGTGCCAAGCCCCTTTCTAATCGCGGTCCTTCAATTAACCGTTTTTGAGGGCTTTTCGGATAAATTTGACCGGTCACCCGTAATGTATGTAGTCGCTACTAAGCGCACGGCGACCGCAGCAGCATAAAGTCGACGACGTCGAGTTACAGCCCCAAAATGGGCTTCTTCGTACCTGTTGGCTATCGCTCTTTGTTGCAGGCCATGTCATTGTGCCCGACACGCGTCTCTGGCTGAGATGTTTCTCGTTCACCTTGTAATGGAAAATAAAAAATACATCGCAAGAAGCGACGCGTCACTCTATACATTGAGACGATCCCAGCGGTCGATTGTAGAAGCAGAAACTGAGAATACCAGAGGAAAACAAGTATATCTGTATTTGCGGAGTACCAACGATGGCTGTTGTAGTTTCATTCGGTTGGCCGGCTGCCGAACTAACTGCAGCAGAGTGACGAACCTGTGACGTCATTACGCAAAAATTGAATCGAGCAAAAATAAGGACTTTGCTCATAAACAGAACACTCGAAGACGCCGTTCCGGTCTCTCTGGTAGTCTCTTGGTACTCTGCACTGCCCTTTACAAGTAACGAGAACCAATATGCGTGAACAACAGAATTCAGTTGATCCATGTGTGGTTTTTAGTTCATTTCTGGATATTTTGTTCCTACTTGGCACAAAACACATTGTGCACGTCTTCCTCGGATTTCTAGATAAAAGCGGCGGAGAGAGAAAAATCAAACAAAAAACTGTAGAAACTCAGGAGGATGAATCTGACATTCGTTACAATATGGCAACCTAACACACTTCCAGTATCGTTCGTTGATGAACCAGTGAAAACTTCTCAAAATCAACAACCTGTTTTTTTATTCTTCACAGGGGTCATCCGACACCCCGTGGTCGCTCCCCGATTGCTCCAGACCTGTGTCCTTCGCTGCCCGAGACCTGCCCGCAGTGCTATGACTCCGCAGAAGAACTGACCAGCGAAGATGTCTGCAAATTCGACGCAGGTATGCAGTGTACTATATTAGGGCACGCTTATTCGATTTTGGTTCACGCTCCGCTATGGGTGGCAGGTCTAATGATTTCTTAATTTTGTTTTTTTTTCCGGTACCAACTAATTCCCTTCAGAGAGGCCTCAGTGAGTGGTACTGAACCTGGGGGCGCGCGGGGGTGTTGCTAGGGGGGAGAAACACAAAAGCCTCTCTTCGATTTTGAAACCGCAACGATATCGCGTCCGTAAAAAAACATGCAGTCCCAGAAGAAATTTAGTAGTACTTTCATGCTTACCACCATGCTGCGTCATATTAAATATGCCATTTTGAAAAGGCTTTTGAAATGAAGTGATCGTAACAAATCTATCATAAAGGGAGAATAATATTAAAGCTGCTATATTGGCCCCACCATATATCACCTCTGTCTCTTATACTACAACGGCCTTATTAAAATATACGTTTGGAAATGTCGGATAGTCTAAAAGGCCCTTTTAGAACGGTCGTGCTTCAACGACATATAGCAAAAATAAAATTGTATACACAGTTGTTTTTGAACCCTTGCGTTTTCCCGCTGGTACAACGTCTCGCCAGCACTATAAGAATGCATTTTTGTCTGTATCTTTCAGTTACTGTTGTTCTCAACGTCTACGGGTTCATCAAGCGTAAGTATTTTTCAAATTTGGTTTGTAGTTAAAATATATACAACAAAACAAATTACTCTCTAGAGTCTACAGTAAAAGCTAAATTACTCAATTGAATACAAACGTAGCTTTACCGAACTTCCATCAGCAACACTGACCTGATCGTTATATATCCCGCATATATTTTTTTTCAAACTTAATTGTTCAGAAGGAATGCATGACCTTTTTTTGCTGAAAAAACTTAACAAATTTCTATTAAAAGGAAGTAGCTACTTTCTCGTTATTCTGAGCGTGTCCTCTTCTGAAGCAGTAACCACGCTCCAATATGGTGGGTCATCAATAATGCCTCGCTTTTTTACGAATTCATAGGAACATATTTTTTATTTTCTTATTTTCCCTTTTTTGCCGTAAAAGTCACATACCGTTGTGAAAACCAAACGGGATAATTTTGTGTTGTACACGTTCCTTTTCAGAGTTAACTAAACTAGTCAATGGTTACTTCATCAAAAATCTAATAAAATGTGACAGTCGTTTCCTTGCTGGAACAGTAAAATAAATCGTGATTTCGCTACCAAAAGAAAAAAAAGAAACTTTGTACAAGTTGCACGTCAGCTGTAACTTTACAAATGTCTGCTTTTCAGGTTCTATCAAAACCGTGATCAGATTACATCTTTGATCAATATAAAATTAAAAACAAACGTGAACAATTTCTACCACACAAATAGGTGTACCGGGCGATGACGCCTTACGTGAAAGCGCGTAAAATAAATAAAAAAATTGTATAAAATATTTACACACCGTCAAACATCATTCCTACCGTTGAAATTACGAGTCAAATGTTACCAGTAACTTCATGCGACCGTTAATGTCTCGTAAATTTACCTTTTTGTCAAAGGTCACATCATCGCGCTTCGTATAATATTAAAGTGCCGGCAACGTTCGGAGTACACTAAAGCTTAGTGTTTTCCGTTAACTCAATTCGAGTTAGGTGTATTTTCTCAGAGCCTAAATATATTAAAAAAAAGCAAAAAAAAAAGTACACAGATTTAAATTAAGTTCGTCGGCAGCCGACGCTACGATCCAGTGGAACCAATAAAAGAACGCAGAAACTGCATCGTCACGGAGCACGTCGTCTTTGTGTGTTTTGTTCTATCACCACCCAAAACCAGTCACTCACAAGAAAAAAAAACAAAAAAACGCAGGATCACTGCGCATTTACAGCACGTGTTTGGTTCAGCCAGTTATGCCAAACACACAAAGACAACAAGCGAACGAGCGACGTGACGATGCGCCCTCGACGCCGAGTTGATCGGCTCCATGTAATGGAAGCGTTCCCTGCGGTCGGGCTCAATGCGAAAGGGCCGTGTTGGCGAAGCGTTCCAGATTCCATCGCATTCATTGCTGTCCCCATGTACTCCGGCAGGGACTATCTCGGTCTCCGATTAAAGACGTGCTAAATAAAACAAAATATCGCTTTAAAAAAAATACTGCGTTTTTTTAATTTAAATTGCAAACGTAAGTCATTCATGGTCGAACGCTCCCAGTTTACGTTCCCATGTAGCGCTAGCCGTCCGAATAAGATAAGGAGGTTCCAGAACGAGCCGTTACCCTAACTAGAAGTTATAAGTAATTCTCTTCATATTTTAATGGGAAAATGGAGCTTGCTGCCGGATGTTTGTGCGCGGTTCGAAACCACGTATTCGTGGCCTTCGTCGGCCATCTTTTTCCCATTTAAAATTTACAGAAATCGCTTATAACACTCGACAAATTTAACGGTTTGTTTTGAAATATTGGCATTGTTTCCGGACGCTAGCGCTACATTTGGGAGGAAACTAAGCGTTTGCTAATGCTGTACTTTGATTGTGCGGTTTACACAGCTCAACCGTTGTAGCAGGTTACTCCCGGATAGGGCAGGTGTACTTTAAGAAAATGGATCGTTCAAGTGAGTAACGGCGTTGTCTAACATTTGTGCAGCGGTCGAGCATGAAAACAAGCTCTGCGGATACCTGAAAGTCTTGACTGCACTTCGCGCTGTGAACGAGCCCTTGTCCGAAGTCTACAGGGTATCTCTGGACGAAGATTGCAGCTGCGTTTCCGGCAAAAGTAAGTTCTGCAAATCTTTCAAGTCTATTTCTACTCGCCATAAGTTTCGCAATTAAAAACAATATCAATTGAAATTGCCACTACTCTTGGCCAGACGCTTTTTGTAAGAGTTATTGCTACTAATGATGCAGAGGAAATAAGACATTACTGCAGCATAAATAGTTTCCATTGATTATGTTATGGTTTTACCTAATTATATCGCAATTATCTTCACGTGTTGTTTTACTTTAGGCGTGCATTCCGTTCACTTAAAATGAGTACTATAATCGTAGCCATGCATCGAGGAGGATCTTTGATACTTGGTTGAAAGGAAAAAAATATTTTACACGTCCAAAGTGAGCCCCAATTTAACGCCACAAAAAAGGTTCTTTTGGGCTTGTTTTATGTCGCCAATTACTGAGGCCATACTCACAGAATGAGAATGGTAGGGTAATCCTTCAGTTATCCCTTCACCCAGCTTAAGCTCCCTTCCTTACACAAAGCTATGGCGTCTCGCGAACCGCGAGTGTGCAAATGCAGCCTAAGACCGACGGACCGCAACAAGCGCGCACTGCGGACCGGGTATCCAAAAAAGAGATGCTTTCCCTTTACCATTCTGCCGTTATCCTTCTGTGCTATTGTGTTCAATAAGGGTTCGCTAAAAACTGCAGACTCTGTAAACCTGCTGGCTCTCATATATCATGTTATATCGTAATCTCTGGGTGTCTATGCCACAGAAACTGCAAGGCTTTAGGAAGCTCCCGACTTGGATGCCACCGCCCCTCTTCCACTGCATGTGGTCCATCAACGACTTCTTCTTGCGCAGAGTCAACGGCCTTTGTCCTCCTGTTCAAGAACGAGAAGGTTATCTTCCCGACTACTGGCGTATCCCATCTGCCGCTGGACCACGACGTGAAGATCGTCAAGTACAACGAGACCACCAGCGCCAAGCTCCAGGAGTTGTTGCGGACATGTCAGGGATACGCCCCGGTGCTGCGACTGAAGCGAAGCGACAGCTACGGAGGAGGTAATGCCCACACGTCCTCCTATCTCGTCAAGACGGTCAAGCACTTCTACCCAGTGCCCGCGTATGGTAAGTCCGCTATGGGTCCGCGCAAAAAGACGGACCAATTAAAGGGCAAGTTCCTTAAGGCAATCGTCTCTACACATCCAGAAGCTTCTATTCGTGCACTGATCCGTGGTACACTAGGAACAAGAATCACTGGCTTTTCTTAAATCAGTTTAGTCGGAGATCATATGCAATCAAGATCGCGCTCGAATGGTTAGGCACTGTTAAACCACCATCCCACCGCTCGTACATCATACGAAGGACATGGTGTTCACTGCAGGCATAGGAACATTATTATCTGCGCACACGACTCGAGCATGATTGAAGCATGTGTGAACATGTCTGTGGACAGCATTTCTGTGACCAATATGTCAGAACCATGATGTAAGAAAAAACATGTCTCAGAGAGTGTGTGCAGACTGGCTTTTGTAAGATGCATTAGCAGCGTTACTGTGGCTTTAAGGTCCGTTTAGTCACGCATCTAAACTCTCAAACAACGCAAATTCAGCGCCGTACCAGCGCCGTGGTCAGCGCTAAAGCAGCTTGAGCTGACAGCGCAGTGTGTGTAAGCGATGGAAGGCGGGGTCACATGCAGCGGAGCACCGATGCAGTGCTGGTATGTAACGTAAAGTCAGCGCTTTTTTTATATTCCACCGAGTTAGCGCTGTGATGTATGTGTGAAAACGCCTTCGGAGGCGAGAGTGTTGGACGACCTCCTTGCTGTTGTTTCCTGCATGACCGTAGGAGCATGATGCCACTTGATTTCTCAATAAACACAATTATGCTTTTACAAAGCATGCGGAGCAATGTAAGTGCAGGAGAATCCTAGAAAGTGAGAAAATTGGTCTTCGCTTCGAAAATACGTGGCTAGCATGGAAGCTTGTCAGATTCGAAAATCAAGGAGAACCTTCGCACTTTCCGTTCGCACTTTCATGGGCTCACATTAACCTTCCTCTCCTTCTTACCTTTTCTCGTACTGTTGAACTCAGATGTTGATGCTAGAGGTAGAAATGGGCAATAGGGTCTTTTAAAAACCCGGTCAAGCAACATTGGTGGTCGGTGTTTCATGGACACGAAACGTTTGATTGGATACGAGAGCGAGCTCTGCGTCAACGTTCAGCGAGTGTTCCTCGCTGAACGTCGATGTAGAACTCGTGTCCAATAATACATGATGGTGTAATACGCCGAAACAACAGGGACGAAAAACGAAGATAGAACCAGACAGGTTCTATCTTCCTGTTGTTTTGGCGTATTACACCATGATGCAAAACCAACTAGCCCAACTAGCCATCCTTATCCAATAATACATGATCAGAGTACATGTCCCAACAATGTTCAACTCTGACAATAGGCGGTGCAGCTACAAGTTGGCGCGGACTTTTCGAAAAGGATCTGTCGCGCTCGTTATGCACGTTATTTAGAATCCTAAGCTGACCATTTCAATAGATGTTGTTTTACACTCGGTCCTTCTGAAACCTAAAGCGAAGACGATATTTTTATGACGTGTGGTGCGAGGTCTGGCTCCGGCTTAAAGACATTCATTGCACAGTACCGATGACGTAGGTTGCTTAAGAAACTTGCCCTTTAACGTTAAGGACTGCCACTACGAGTCAAGAGTAGATGCAAAGTGGGCCACATTAGCTCATTCCTCAATGCTACGTTGGTAAGCGTAGCGTCATAAACCTTCATTTAATACATCGGGGTAAATCTAATATTGCATCACCCACAACTGCCGGCTCACCGAGCCTGCGAGAAAAAACCCTATTCACGCTGTACAGCACATTTCTTCAACATCTTGTCCAAGTACGAGTGTCAGTATTGAACGCCCTATTTCCTCTAGCGCATAAAAACAACGTTAACACCCATATTGCAGATTTGTATTTGTAATAACATGACAATGAGTACTTCTACTTAACCACCCCATTCGAAACTGTATAATATAACGTTGTGTTATGTGCTTTTCAGACACTGCAAAGTGTAACGTAGATTCCATGAACTGACATTAGGGAACGGGCGAAGCCGCTCGCAAACTTGACTCCGAGTGTCGCGCGTAAACAACGCTGCGCCAAGAATGGTGCTCGTTGATTGGCCGACCACATAATGCCAGTCGATGGAATATACAATAAATTTTGCCGTGGGCATGGTTTACATCTACAGTATATAGGTGTCGACACCGCGCGCACCACAGCTGCCAAATAAAGTATTCAACTCGCCCTGGTTGCAAGCGGAGACACCAAGGGCGGTTTGTTAGTGAATTCGGCTATTCCTTCCGGCGGGAACGAAAGATTTTTACGCCACGTAACCAGCTGAGAGGGCAGAAAGTGCCTAGCGTTTCAGACAATTCCGATCAACAGAGTTAAGTCTAGTTTCTTGTTATTTTTCATTCCTGCCTAACACGATCTTCCAAAAAAATAGCTTTACAGGCCACTCGTAAAGTAAGAACACACATGCAGTTCACTACGCTCAAACTTTAAGCCTGGCAACTTTCTTTCTGCGCGCAATACCGAACTTGAATAATCGAAGCAAGGACGGACTTGCGGCAGTCATTTGCTTGTCTCGGCGGCAAATATTTTGTGCTACACAGTCAAGGCAGCCGCAACTTTCACAGCAGGCTAAAGCTGGCAAAGCTCTTGCGCGAGCGCAGCAATGCTGGGTTGCATCATTGTGGAAGGTACGCAAGCCTTCAAAATGTAGCAGAAAATAATTGATCCGAAGTTTTTTTTCAATATCTACATTAGTGATGTGACCAGAAATTCTCACTTGCGGGGATTTTACCCGCCGAGAGAGACACCCGCTACACCAGCGAACCGCCCCTGATGGCTCATTATGCGGCTAATAAAATAAATTTTGCTCGGTTTCTCAAGCTTTATAAAGGCTGACATGGCTGCATTACAAGTAGTTTTTTGGGTTCGCCACGTCGTGGCCATGATGTGTGACGGTTCCACGTACACCACGATGATGTTAGGAAGCTTGCATTAAGAAAAAAAAATTATGCAATTCATTTTCCTAAACGTAACAGCAAAAATCATGTTTCTGCTTCCTTAACTTTACATGATAGTTCACCAGTGCCCCACTATGCAGATAGACAAAGTGACATTCCAACAAACTTGGTCTAATGGTATGTTAGTCTAACACAGGAACTTACGCATGAACCAAGTATTAGTCGCTAAATGTAAACATCAAATAATCTTTCTTATTTAAAGCAATGTTCCCACATTTTCATCTTTCCTTTCAGGTTACGAGCCAAGTTATGGCGGAGACTCCTACTCAGCTCCAAGTTACAGCGCTCCTTCGTACTCCGCTCCAAGCTACAGTGCTCCTTCTTACTCCCCACCAAGCTATAGTGCGCCCTCTTATTCCGCACCTAGCTACAGTGCCCCATCCTATTCTGCTCCAAGCTACAGTGCCCCTTCTTACTCCCCGCCAAGCTATAGCGCACCCTCGTATTCCGCACCTAGCTACAGTGCCCCATCCTATTCTGCTCCAAGCTACAGTGCTCCTTCTTACTCCCCACCAAGCTACAGTGCTCCCTCTTATTCAGCACCTAGCTATAGTGCCCCGTCCTATGCTGCTCCAAGCTACAGTGCCCCGTCGTATTCTGCTCCTAGCTACAGTGCTCCATCTTATTCCCCACCAAGCTATAGTGCACCCCCTTATTCTGCACCAAGCTACAGTGCCCCATCCTATTCTGCTCCAAGCTACAGTGCTCCTTCTTACTCCCCACCAAGCTATAGTGCTCCCTCTTATTCTGCACCAAGTTACAGTGCCCCGTCATATTCTGCTCCTAGCTACAGTGCTCCATCTTACTCCCCACCTAGCTATAGTGCTCCCTCTTATTCAGCTCCAAGCTATAGTGCTCCATCCTATTCCGCTCCAAGTTACAGTCCTCCTTCATACTCCCCACCAAGCTACAGTGCCCCGTCATATTCTGCTCCTAGCTACAGTGCTCCATCTTACTCCCCACCTAGCTATAGTGCTCCCTCTTATTCAGCTCCAAGCTATAGTGCTCCATCCTATTCCGCTCCAAGCTACAGTGCTCCTTCATACTCCCCACCAAGCTACAGTGCCCCATCCTATTATGCTCCAAGCTACAGCGCTCCTTCTTACTCCCCACCAAGCTATAGTGCACCCTCTTATTCTGCACCAAGCTACAGTGCCCCATCCTATTCTGCTCCAAGCTACAGTGCTCCTTCTTACTCCCCACCAAGCTACAGTGCTCCCTCGTATTCTGCCCCAAGCTATAGTGCTCCCTCGTATTCCGCCCCAAGCTATAGTGCCCCATCATATTCTGCACCAAGCTATAGTGCGCCTTCTTACTCTGCCATGAGTTATAGTGCACCCTCGTACTCTCCACCAAGCTATAGTGCTCCGTCATATTCAGTCCCAAGTTACAGTGCTCCATCGTATTCAGCCCCTAGCTATAGTGCCCCATCCTATCATGCACCGAGCTACAGCGCTCCTTCATATTCTGCTCCGAGCTACAGTGCTCCCTCTTACTCCTACCCAAGTTATAGTGCTCCATCATATAAAACTCCAAGCTACAGTGCCCCATCTTATTCTGCACCAAGCTACAGCGCTCCTTCTTACTCTGCCCCAAGTTATAGTGCCCCATCCTATTCTCCCCCAAGTTACAGCGCGCCTACTTATTCTCCCCCGAGCTACAGTGCTCCTTCTTACTCTCCACCAAGCTACAGTGCTCCGTCATATGCTCCTCCAAGTTACAGCGCTCCATCATATGCTCCACCTAGCTACAGCGCCCCATCCTATGCTCCCCCTAGTTACAGCGCCCCATCTTATTCTCCTCCAAGCTACAGTGCCCCATCTTATTCGCCTCCAAGTTATAGTGCTCCTTCTTACTCTCCGCCAAGCTACAGTGCTCCCTCTTACTCGCCACCTAGCTACAGTGCCCCATCCTATGCCCCTCCGAGCTACAGTGCCCCATCCTACGCGCCTCCAAGCTACAGTGCTCCGGCTTACTCTGCTCCAAGCTACAGCGCTCCGTCTTACGCTCCCCCAAGCTACAGCGCCCCCTCTTACTCTCCTCCAAGCTACAGTGCCCCATCTTACTCTCCCCCAAGCTACAGTGCCCCGTCTTACTCTGCCCCAAGCTACAGTGCCCCGTCCTATTCTCCTCCGAGCTACAGCGCTCCGACTTACTCTCCCCCAAGCTACAGTGCCCCGTCTTACTCTCCCCCAAGCTACAGCGCTCCATCTTACTCTCCCCCTAGCTACAGTGCCCCGTCTTACTCTCCCCCAAGCTACAGCGCTCCGTCTTACTCTCCCCCAAGCTACAGCGCCCCGTCTTACTCTCCGCCAAGCTACAGCGCTCCGTCTTACTCTCCCCCAAGCTACAGCGCCCCCTCTTACTCTCCGCCAAGCTACAGCGCTCCGTCTTACTCTCCCCCAAGCTACAGCGCCCCATCTTACTCTCCCCCAAGTTACAGTGCCCCGTCTTACTCTCCCCCAAGCTACAGCGCTCCGTCTTACGCTCCTCCAAGCTACAGCGCCCCCTCTTACTCTCCTCCAAGCTACAGTGCCCCGTCTTACTCTCCACCAAGCTACAGCGCTCCGTCTTACTCTCCCCCAAGCTACAGCGCCCCGTCTTACTCTCCGCCAAGCTACAGCGCTCCGTCTTACGCTCCCCCAAGCTACAGCGCCCCCTCTTACTCTCCTCCAAGCTACAGTGCCCCGTCTTACTCTCCACCAAGCTACAGCGCTCCGTCTTACTCTCCCCCAAGCTACAGCGCCCCCTCTTACTCTCCGCCAAGCTACAGTGCCCCGTCTTACTCTGCTCCAAGCCAGGACAGCTATGGTGACAGCTATGGTGACAGCTACAGCGGGTACGACGTTTTACATATCTGTACGTGGTGACATAAGGACGTTTTAGAGAGCAGCTTTTACGTGCCCGTTTCCGGGTTTCACGGCATCGGCGTCGGCGTAACCGCGCTAAATTTAGCGGCAAAGTTTACGTCACGTGACCTCAACACAAATTCAATATCCGGTAAATTTAACAGCAAAAATTTAGTTTCGTCCGCTACATTTAGCGGATAGATGGAATTTGTTCATAGCTGACGTGACACCTAGTCATGTGACGTCAATTTCCCCGGTACATTTAGCAGGGAAACTGAATTGGAAGAGGAGCAGAAGGGGAGGAGGAGGAGGGCAGGAAGAGAGGGTACGGAGGAGGAGGAACGGCATACCCCTCCCTCCGTAACCCTCTTCTTCTCCTCCTCCTCAAGAGCTGCGCTCTAATTTTGCATTGCAGAGATTTGTAAACGTCTTTTATTTTTTGCATGCATGATAGAATAATGTCGCCTCCTTATTTTTACAGAAGCAGCAGCTACGTGCCCTCGGTCACCTACACTTACGTCACGTACGTGCCTCCTTCGTACGCTAGCTACGCCCCTCCCAGCTACGCCGCCCCAGCTCCGAGTTACGCTGCTCCAGCAGCGAGCTACTGAGGCAAGAACGCCTGGGTCATTGCTGAACCGGTCGTTCAGACCCGTGAAAAACACTGTTCAACAAAGTGTCCAAGTAAAGGCTACTGCTTCCAAGTCCTCTGGATTTGTTATTGCTAATAAACACCACCCTTTAAATTGTATGCTCAAGAAGAATTCGTTTTTTTTTTCATTTCGGCTGGGGCTTTCGGGTAAATATGACGGGTTTACTTGTATTTCGTCAGTAATATCCGGGTAGGTACACATCATTCCTCTAGGGTTTAATTCAACTCTTATTGGAAATGTTCCATCGCTTAATTTAAAAGATGTGATTCGAATAGAAGAATAAACGACATTGGATTGGCGTGTGACGTAGTTTACACAAGCATATTAACACAGGCTTATGATGAGTATGCTCGTAGGGCACGCCCCACCCCAAAGCTTGTAGCTTTGTGGCGCTTTTCAATTCTAGTTGGTGGCCTGGGTTCACGCACAATCGGAATGCTGCTTTCATGGGCCAGCAATATTTATTCGTTTCATTCTGATAAAAAATAAATACGTACGTACGTATACATGTATCTTGAGTGGAATTCTCTGCGAGAGCGCTAAGCTCGGAAGTTTAAGAAAAACAGCTACATGCAGACCAAAGTAACATAAAGCCTAATTAGCGAATAGAAGGCGATGTATAAGCATACAACTCATATAAAAGGCGGCAGTCAATCATAAATAATCATAATTATACCTGAGCATAATTAGTCGCAATCAGCGAGATTTCCCGAGCGGCTCTGTGAGAATCAAACCCTTGAACATACAACTACAACACGGCGCCGGTGCTCGGAGCAAGGAGTCGACCGGCGGTGTACGCAGCTGAACCCCGAATGCCAAAGTGTAGTTACTCACGTGATCTCACGAATTCGCTGGGCAGGTTCATTCTAGTGAAAACAAAAACGTGTGGAATTTGGACGCATGACCTACTGGTGGAACCGATGATTTCATACAATATTATGGGATACGAGCACCTGTTTGATAACAAATTACCCTGTTGAACAGGACATTGAAGTACACAGACAAATATTTTCTTTTTGTTAGCCCCAAATGGGCACAGCCTGCGATGCGTTCCTTAAGCCTGCAATATGTTCCTCGAAAGACAAATTTCTTATAATAGTTTTGGGTATAAAAATGCGCTGCAGGGCTCAATTTATTTGAACTCGTCGATCACGCATTAGCAAATATGAACATAAATGTGAAATAAATGAGCCATAAATCCATTCACAGACGAAATATTGAACACAGGACGGAACAGTAAGCACGACATCCTTCATCTGTGCTCCGTCCTTTGTGTTTATTCTTTCGTATGCAAATGAATCCCACTAACACTGAACAAGGTGATAAACAGCGCACAGGAGAAAAAGACGCGGTAGTCTAAAACAGACAGGGCAAGCGCTTGTTCATCTGTTTTCTTCTACTGTGGTTCTTTGTCCCTTGTGAGCTGTTTAACACCATGTCCAATGCATACCAACTTGCACAACTCGCCTTCTTCCTACTAACCAGCACGCTCGGTTTTTAGCTCGTTTCCTCACATTGCGCAAGTTTTATTCTGAAAACCAGTTTGCACATAGAAAGGAGTCGTTCCTCTATGGAACGCCATTACAGTAAAATGGTGGAAACTGGGCATCGTCGGCAAATAGACCCGACCCCGATGAGTTGCGACATTCGACGCGTTGGAGGGACACGAAGCCCAGCGGAACGCTGACGGAGCACTCGGGTGAAATTGGTGTCTTCGCTCGATCCCACTAAAATGGGGTCATAGTTTTAGTGCAAGAGCTCTGTCTATGCTATGTGGTGTTAATCAGGTGCAGCTGGCGAGGCATGGTATGGAAGCAACGCGCGCTAGATCTTGGTGTCGTTAAGTGCCCTCTAATTACCGCCCCGCAGCGAGCTTGCGGTGGTGCACCTCGTTCCAGTCCAACAGCACGTGGAACTCAACGTGCTATACGCAGGAGCTAAACACATGGAAACCTTTCTTTAAAGCATACTCCTTACACGCTCTATTTTTTTAATAAATTAAGACTCGTCCTAAAGCTTCTGATAAACACGTCCTATACATGAGTGCGTCGTACGTGCGATGTATTCTAACCCGCCCAAAAGATCCATGTTCAAATCGTAAAAAATCATAACGCTCACGAAATGCACGGACGACACCTAATACTTGTTTCACAATCTAATTTTATAAAATGAAGATTTTATGAATCAATTCAGTGCTAAGGAGTTAGAAAAAGGAAAGAGTCAGTTGAGACACCTCTTTGTGAAGTGGTCAGTGACGCTTCTCCGATAGAGGCTGCACCAAATTTGACAGAGCGATGAAGCAATCTATCAAACAAAGAAGCGCCAAAAGATACCCTGAAAGGTGCAAATTCGCACTTTTGTGAACGAGTATAAGAAATGGAAAGTCTTTTGGCAGGGGCCTAGCCCTTATTGAGGTTCTGACAGACCAGAGTTTTAAGTTTTCAGTTCGCAGTAAAACTCTATTCTGCGAAATCCAGGCAGCGGTTGGCCCATAGCTAGAGTAACAGTGCGGAATGTTGTTCGAACTGGCGCTGAGTTTTAGAATGCACGATGAAGTACCCAGACAAGGTAAAGAGAAGCAAGAAATACTGCATACTACAGTGCCCACAATTTCTCCTCCTTTTGCTTTTACTTCTCCTCTTCCAGCTTTACAATGTATTATAAAATTCAGATTGAGAGTTCGTGTGATTTTCCTTGCTGCTGTTCACAATTCAAGAATGCCACAACTTACTCGCTTAACAACACGTAGTCATTTATTCCCTGTTTACGCTGCGCGCTCCGACACCTAATGCCCCGCGCCTACTTCTTCCCCAACATTTTATCAGCGGCGCAGCGCCGCTCACGCATGGCCGATTACGCTTCGCCACTTTGAACTGCGGTAATCACGAGAGATGATTTAACACGCGGGAAACCTGATTGATAGCTGCAGATAACCCAGTTTCGCGCAAGTTTCAGATATGGTTAGCGGACCTGTAAAGCATAGTGTTTTCTGCAACCCCTCATTGAATGGGGCGCTTTACGACTGCGTCAAATATCTGCGTCTATGTCAGGGTAACACCTAGAAGCTACCTGCCGACAGATTACCCACCATTAGCAGCAACCCTGTAGCAACCCTGCAGAAGATTTTGGTAATGCAACAACCGCAACACCATAAAAATACTAAAATACGTAACACAACATGGTACGTGATGAACTGTACAATTTTGTCAATCAAGAATAAATCTCTCCTGCCTGGAAGACTAAACAACTACTCCGACAAAGGAAGAAAACAAGGACGGAAAATTAACAAAAACAGCCCCCAGCAAAGAACTACACCCTTCATAGGAAACCAACGTTACTAGAACACTCACTTGGGAAACTCGCCGTCGAAACCTGGGCCGCTTCGTCCACCGAGACCGAGCTCAATACGATAACAGCGCCACTCTTTATCATTTGTCTGTACTGTGGTCACTATGAGCTTTTAGAAAGCATGGTTTTGCGTAAAAACAAACGGAAAAGACTCTTTTTGTATGAAATTTGTTGGCGTCTAGTACAAAATGAAGGGCGCGTGATGTTTTTATCATCTTTAGTTTGCAAGGTTTTGCGGAACAATTAATATTGTTTTTATACAACCATGCCTCAGCGGTCCTTTCAGGTAGCACGTCCCGACCTATACTCTGTTTCATACTTAGCGTGCAACGCTGTCAAAGCTACTGGCGCGAGTGCGTGGCTTCATCTATGGTTTTGTTTGCGCGAGAACGCGTGCAAATGATCAACGAGATCAAGCTCCATGCTCGCGCCAAAAGCTTTAACAGCGTTGCACTCTAAGCATGAAACAGAGTATAGGTGCATTTTAACTTCGGTAGATATTCGCGGCGCGTCCGCTGGGGAGACGGAAGTGGCACCCCTGTAACCTCTTCCGCTGTATCTGTTTCGGTGCCAAAATGGCCGATTAAAGCCAAAATAGAAGTGACGTGCAGTTCCTCCAGTGACCGCTGCGGGAGAAATGGCGGCGTTGTGTTCGCCATTAGCTGGGTTCTGGTGGACAGATTGGGGCCACTTTTTCAGAACAGTCTCTATGGCAGTTTCCCAACTGAGTGGTTCTAGTAACGTTGTAGGAAACTTTGAAAAGTGGCAAGTAGACGGTAGGCATTTTAAAAAGTTTTATGAAATAAGAGGAAGGAACTTTCGACCTGGTGAAAGAGTAAAACTTAAAAAGCAGTAAAAAACCTCGCGGCAGCTGGGCAGATAGCTTTGGAACATCTTTTAAAGTTGTAGCAGTAACATCTGAGGAATGAATACGGTACGGGACGGACTGGCTGATGGGCTATGGGCTCATGAAGAATTATGGGGGATTCACCCACTCTTCACTCAATGGGTGAAATTCGCCGCACAAACTTGAGTTTCAGAAATGCACGTGAGTATCGATAATTTTGGAGGTTTGTTAAGAAGACGTTTTGATTGTCGCACATTCTATACATTTTTCTTTTAAAGCGCGAGAGGTCTTTAATAAAATTAACAATTATGACCGTTTTTACGGCTTCGAGCAAATTCTGAAGGAATCTTAAAATGAAAATAAATGGCAGGCCAGCAGGCCTAAGATAGGGACCTCAAAAACTAAAAACAGCGGAAACGAGACGTAGGAATAGAGATGTACACAGACAAAGCGCTGACTTTGAACTGATTTTACTTGAAAATCACACATATCGAAGCGAAAAGGAGAGCAATATTTCTTTCACCAAGTCATTAAGCGTAAAATTCTGTAAAAAGCTCTCGAAAGGACCATGAAGACAATTTTCACCTTTTTCTAAAAAACGCTGTTATCGGACTCTTGAGGGACGAGGCAACATGCCTAATTTTTTAATACAGTTGTATAACGCTCATTATTTCGTATAAGAGTAAATCAACGAAACCGAAACTGACCTTGGGCTACCTCGCCGTGCAGCCTCTTTTAACACGGAAATGACTCCAAGAATGAA